AGGTCTGTAGGTTCTGTGTCTCAGAGAACATCGCTGTGGCAAGCGCGATCATCTCTGCTTCCGTGGTGCTTCTGGCCGTTGATGATTGCTTCCTAGATAACCAGTGGACAGGGAAGTAAGATTCACCAGTGCACAGCATTATGATGATGCCGGACGTGCTTTTGGCACTGTACGGGCAAGATGCGAAATCTGCATCCGTAAACACTTCGATGTTGCAGGAGAGGTCGGTTTGCGAAACTGCTCCTCGTAACGTGAGGTGTGTCGTGTGATGGAGATATGAAATGCAACGCATTAACTGGCGATCCTCAAATTTGGTCCATTTCGTCACCCTCGACGCTAACCGGGTGATTGCAAAAGACAAGTCAGGCCGGGCAAGACGACTTAGCCACAGGCCTCGCATAAGAATGCGCGACGCAGCATGATGCAATTCACCTTCTGTCTCCAGGTCGGCATCAGGTGAGCTGGTTCTCCGGATAACAAGGTGACGGAGAGTTGCGTAGCTTGTCTTTGGTGACGCCGGCGACCTCACAGTAGAAGTCGACGAGCTGTGCTGCGTACGAGCACATGTCAAACTCACAGGTCGATGGACTCGTGCCTTGCGGCGTTTCACGCAGCAAGCTGTGGTGTCTACCTAAGATACGACAACCCTTATCACCCGATTCTACGTAGACTTCTGGGTCGAGTTTTACCCTAGACCTCAGCTCGTGCCAGAACTGCTGGTGAAGTTCGGTCGGTCCGCTCAGGGTCAGATCGTCTACATAGACATTGAGTATCAAGGTCTTTCCGTTCTGACGGAAGATCCAGTTGGACGGGTACTCTGGGCATTCTGTGCCGCAGAGTTCGCGCAGGTGTCGCTCTAGGAACAGCTGCCATCTTCGTCCGGACTCTGGATGACCATATAACGATTTCCGCAACTGAACGACGAGCTTGGTCCCTGCGGGGAACCTTTGGTGCCATGAAGGCACCCAAAGCTCGGGTGGGATGACCACCCAGGTGCCCTCGCCTATGGAGGCCTGGAGGTAGGCCTGCACACAGTCGGAGCATGAGGTGGAGTGTCCAGGTCTGAGGCCGTACCACAGGGTGACCCCCAAACCGACCAAGCCGGTGGGCGTCGTTGCGGTGTCTTCAAAGTAAACCTGGTTCCCACTGGCGTCGGTCACGTAATCGCCCCTGTAGACGATCCGTCCTTTGTAGCGGTGGTGTTGTGGCCCGAGCTCAAAGTGTTTGATTCCGCACAATCTGAGCAGCTCCGCGACTTTTATTTTCTGACCAGATTCTTTGGATTCTTTTCTGAGCTGCCATAAAGGCCGTACAGAGTCGTCATCCCAAGTCTGGTTGCTGCGGAGACCCTCGGCTTCTTTTTGTACCGAGCTAACGCCTTGTACGTCTTTGAGCCACTCGCTCCTGCTCAGGTTTTTTGTGACAAGCGCGTTCGTTGCACACATTGCGGGGACACTGCTGTAGAACAGCTGTGGGTAGAGAGCTTCAATCAAAAGATTGGCACAGTGTTGGGTGTTAAGGCTAGTACTCGAGGTGACAGAGCAGTCAGCCGTTTCGTGCTCGTGGTCTCCTGAGCTTTGGTGTTGGCCATCCAACTGTAGTACTCTTAGTGACGTAGTAGAGATAACCCAGTGTTCCTTGACGGGGTTCTCTTTTCCTCTTGCGCCTAAGGAGCAACCGTGAAAGTACACCCTTCTTAAGTTGAACTTCTCTTCAAACTCTAGCCACGACGGTTCTTGCCAAAGCTTGTTGGTCGCAGGCCACTGAAAGCTTACATGACCCCCCTGCTCAATCATGTGGGACGCTACTTGGAGAGCAAGACCCAGCATGACACGTGTATGCTGCTGTCGCTTCTTAAGTCTGGCAGTGTACGCTACACCGTGGGGGTGTTTGTTCATACGCTGCGAAGGACAAAAGTCCGTAGAAGGCAAGCTGAAATGACCGCAAGCTCCAGGCTTGAGTTGGCCAAAAACTTGCTCAACGTGAGTTGGCTCAGCGAAGTCGAGCGTGGACGTTGTGAGCCTCAAGCAGTCTACACGGTGGTTTGCTGCTGCAAGGCCGATCTCGCTGTCGTCTTCGCAGCAGTACTCGACGAGTTGGTTCTTTCTGGGCAAAGCCTCAAACCTGCAGGGGCGGCGCAGTGAGTGGTCACGTTCCAAGAAACTTCGGTCTGGCACTGTCCGGGCAGTGGCAAGATGGCCAGGCGCAGGCTCAGGGGCAGTCTGCACTGTCGCTCCGCCGACTGGCGCTGAACCGTCGTCGTCGGATGGTTCGTAGTCAGAGAGATGGTCATTTTCGTCTGGTGCATGTGACACTGCACGCGGCTCAGCAGGGGACAGGCCGTCGAGCAGCTTGTCTTCGATCCTCTCGAGAACGTCTTCGTAGGGAAGCTCTGGCTCTGGTGCCTTCTCAGCCTCTCTCTCTACAGGGACCTTGTCCTTTACACGAGCACTTGCAACCTTGCCCGCGCGCACCAATCCGTCGAAACGAACTTTGCAAATGGGACTGTGTACTCTGGAGTCAAAGCTACAAGCCCTGCATCCAGGTGTAGGGCCGTATTTGATGATCCTGTCGAGGGTGATATACTCGTGTTGTAGAGGGTTTAGCATCTACAGCCAAAGGCGAGAACGGTATCTTTAGACCAGCAACGTCTTCGAACTTAGGTTCTGCAAACCCTTCTAGCGCCTTT